ATTTCAGGGTTCTTATTGACAAAACCACTCAACTCTTGGTGGCTCTTAATGGAGGGTCAAATGTAACAAATTTTCACTGAGTGGCTCTTAATTGAGGGTGGCGCTTATTTGCGGGTTTTTACGGTACTCCTTCAAAGCAATCGAATGGCCCACTTTCCAAAGTCGGAAACGCGTCCCGGGACCCCTTTGTGTGTACACGTGATTTACTTTCTTATTCTGGCTCTGACTGCAAATCAAAGCGATCATCAGAAATTATGGCACTTAAGCAAAACGCCAAAAATCGAATGTATGAACCAGGGCAGGTTTTGAGTACTGATTTGAGAAGTTTGATCATCGAAGAAGTGAAAAACAGAGAAGGACATGTTGAGTCCAGTGAATTCCCTAGTGGAACATTGGCGCGTTGGTAGGAAATTCAAAGTAGACGAACGTACAGTAAAGCGACTTTGGACAAGATATTGGCAAACTGGGTCCTTCCAAGCTATGCGTCGTTCAGGTGGAAAGGACAAAATTCTTGGAAGACGAGAAATCACGCTACTCGAAGGACTTGAGCAAGAACGACAGTCTATTTCACTCAATGAACTCCGGGACGAGCTGCTGCAATTCACACCGGTGACTCGCGTCTCATTTGCAAGAGTTTGCAGTACTGTGAAAAACGATTTCAGTGAAGGTAGCTAGCTGGTCAAGGAAAAAAAATGGCAATCACGCGAGGAGAGAGATTTCGGACCGAAACTTGCGATACACCCAGGCATACTTGGATTACATCCATACGAAGGATCCATACAGAATTAAATTTATGGATGAGTCTGGCGTGAAAGTGAGTTGCAGTCAGCCTAAGTATGGACATTCGAGAAAAGGAGAACCTTGCGTTGACTTCAGTTGCTATGCGGCAGGTGGTGTCAACTTTACGGTCAACCTGCTAGTTGGAGCTGACGGCATCAAGTACTGTAGCGTTGTCGAAGGCCAACTGTTTCATCAATTTTTTTGTTGAAGCAGTGGAAAATTATACTGATGATGGACAACAGATCTTACAATCTGGGGATTTTGTTGTCCTCGACAGCGCCCCAATTCACCATAATGAAGCTGAGATTATACTTTCTAACTGGTTTGAAACGATGGGCATCAAATATATGTGAAAACTGTTTCGGTAAGATGAAAGAAATACTCAAAAGGGATTATTATCGCCGTCTCTTGCATGATAATATTGCGATCACAGTGTATGATGCTGTCGGCAAAATTACGCCAACTGACATTGCCGGTTATTATAACCTGACTGGATATCTCCAAGTCTAACTTCTTTGTCTATGACATAAACCTAACGGCCCTTTTCAGGGCCACTAAATATTCAAAAAAGAGAACTACTGTAATACATTGCTTGTGTTTGGGTCTGTTTGGTGGTTATGTGTGAGTTTATGTAGTACTAGTATATTAGTCCTGCGTACAATGCTGTGTGTAAGGGAACACGTTCGGTTGATAGATGTCCCTCACCACAGCCCTGCGTACCTTCCGCGTTGTACGTAATCTCTTCTTAGACAAGCGTCATTGAGTACACATTGGTGTGTACATGTTTTGTTTATTTTACCAGTTACACCTATCAGACTTAATCTCACTCAAGGTTGCAATGCGGATGCTGTTCCTGAAAGAGCTGTAGTTTTGATCACAGTATAAACATCATTTTATATGTCTGTTTCTCAATAAAAATAGGTGCAAGACCAGTGGTTGCTTTATCAAGAATTACAGGAGGGTAATAATTTATGCGCCACTGCTGTACTGGTTTATTTTGTCAGTTTTCTGAAGGAAAAACACAGCTGAACTGTTCAAACTAATACAACAGTTATAACATAGAACAAACCTTGAGGGAAATCCAGGCTAGCTGGGAAATCAGTAGTTACATTGTGTTGGCTTCTATTGTAATGTTATCATTTTCTTTCTAGCTGTCTGATGCCAGTATTACAAAGTAAAGCTAAGACTGGATCTGCACAGCAAGCTAAACATGCAATACACTGTATCAATGCAATCATCATCAGGAAAAAAAGAACTATATTTGAACAAATATTTGAGGTAAGAATATAAAAAAACTGTCACTGCATATTATGTTTTTTTTACCTTGTCCATATCAAAGGTCTTATTAAGGGCAAGGTTTATAAGAGTAAATATCTGTTGTTTTCGTCAATGTTTTCTTGTGGTTACAATAATACAGTAACAGTGAATATTAGATAGTAGCAAGAAAATAAGTCTGTCCAACCACAACTATTGAAGTATACTAGGACCTCGGGAGCACACCAAATAAACAAATAGTAATTTTAAAATACAAAAGGTAGCTCAACCAGTTCTCAAACTTCTTGAATAGATAAAATAAAAGCCAACGTTTTGACAATGCTAGGATCGTCTTCTTCAGGGTAAGAGCTAGAAGAAATAAAATCCCGTTAAAACTAGTAACTATAACTGATAACAACTGGAAAGCTGATTGGATAAAGAAAAGGGCAGGGAAAAAAGAAGGGAGAAAACTAACATGAACATCCAAATGCAAACTGTGATTGAATAAGTAGAATGAAACAGAGGAATGCCTAACATAGTGGTGGAATAGGTACAGTACAGTTCTTGCGAAAGCTTTGGCTTCACTTCAGCTTCGCTTCACCTTCGCTTCAGCATCGCATCATTATGGCATTGTTATGGCTTCAGCATCACATCAATGTCGCGACATTAAAAAGTTAGGCGGTTATCGCTTCGCTACATTGTGGCCTCATTATGGCGACATTGTGGCATCAGCATCGCTTCGTCAAAGAAGTACAGAACTCATTTCGCCCAACCTCTCGCCCGCTTCTGCTTTTCAGTTTATTACATCACCTACCAGAAAGTCTGTGGAAATAATAAATTTCATTTATTACTCGTAGGCTTAAATACAGATTACAGCCCCAATCGGAAACTATTAGGGAATATACAAGCTAGCTATGTAATGTCTGTTTCAATGAGTGAAAAATCTCTCCCTCCACTTGGTAATTGCCGAGATTGTTGGAGAGTTGGCACAATCTGACTCCCTGCTCGAGGTGGCGGGGTCGACAATTGAGACAAGGCCGAACAGTTTACCATTGAGGTAACGGAAAGGGCGGTTGATAGTGCGGGAACACCGATGGTGGATCTAAATTCTCCCAACGTGGAGTGGGCTTCCCCATCGGATAATACCGAGGCTAATGAATATCTGTCAAACGCTTTTGCGGGGAGATCGGAGTTCCCAGTTACCACGCCGACTGAAGCTGATAAACGGTGTGTTCCCTATGAGGCGCCGACGAAAGAGTCGCTATGTGCGAAGTCCATACTGCCCTCTTGGCAGGAGCGGTTTTGGCTGAGTGCGAGGCAGTGCGCCTATCCTACTCCAGTGGGAGTTTGATCCCCTGCGGAGAAGGCCTTGGGGGCGTGATCGTCTATTTGGTGGCCGGTTAGTGGATGCGGTGAACGGTTTGCCGGTTGAGAAAGATCAGCGTATCCAATTGAAGCAATCGTCTCTGTTGGCTAGGGTAGCTAGTCCTTCTGGTCAACGGGCAGAACAAAACTGCAAGGCAGCCCAGGTTAAGTCCGCCACTCGGAGCCTCAACTGACGAGGATCCAAGTCTCATGGTCTCCTGGGAGCGGGAAGCGTCAACGAAAGGCCAAGAAACGTGGCGTTGGTGGTGGCCGTTCTGACACTTCTAGGGACCGGGGGACTACGAAGTCTCTTTGAATGTTTCGCCGGCTGCCTGGACATGGATGGCGTTACGACTCCGGGTCTCCCTCCCCGGGGTCCCCGGGCTCAGTCCCCCCTCTTCGTCCTCCCATTCTGGAGGAGGGGGGAACACTAGCTTCGAACCCCTGTCCGCTTCCTTCCCGTGTGATCGCGCCTTATGCAGCACATACCAGCTTTGCACAGGAAGGTTCCCGATCTCTGACTCCTCACCCTCCCTCAGGTCTTATACCGAGGGACGAGGTCAAGGTGCAGACGATCCGACAGGAAGTAGCAAGCCTTCTGGAGAAAAGGGCGATATGCCTAGTGGGGAACTCTCGTGTATCACCAGGGTTCTATTCCCGCATCTTCCTCATTCCGAAGAGTTCGGGGGTGGCGTCCAGTCCTAGACCTCAGTCGGCTGAACAGGTTTGTGGAACTCAAGCGCTTCCGGGTGGAAACACCGCTTCCGTACTTCTGTCAGTGCACTCGGGCGATTGGTAGGCGTCGCTGGATCTGAGCGACGCTTAACTCCACATTCCCATTCACCACTCATGCAGCCGGTATCTCAGATTCCCATTATAGGGCAAAGTCTACGAGTTTACAGCCCTCCCCCTCGGTCTGTGCACGGCACCGTATGTCTTCACTATAGTGCTAAGACAGGTGACCCAGCTGCTATACCGGTCGTCGGTCTATCTGAACCCATATCTCGACGACTGGTTAATACACAACCGAGACATGGAGGTCTTAGTGGAGCATGTGCGGTTGATGCAGACGCTCCTACACAGAGTTGGGATTTTTTAATAAATATTGCCAAGTCCAACCCAATACTGTCCCACAGCCTGGTTTTCTGGGTATGGAGTTCGTCACAGAGCAAGGGTGCATTCGCCCCTCGCAGGATTGATGCGGCTCTCTGGTAGAGCTCGCCAGCCAACTTAAGTCGACGGGATCGGTGTTGATGTGCGAACTGTTGCGGTCTTTTGGCAAATGATTTCAGTTCGGCATCTGGTTTCGTTAGCAGCTCTCCGGTCTCAACCGATTCAGAGGTGCTCACTGGACTACAGGATCCACTTGCAGAACCTGATGTTTAGGGTTCAATCGTCACACACCACCACTCCTGCTTCGGACCTCAGTAGTGTCGTACATCAAGGAGGGGAGGGACGCGTTCCCCCACGTTGTGGAAGCTAGCAGAGGAGATTCTCCTTTGGTGCCTGGATAACCAAGTTGAGCTATCAGCTTACCACCTTCCGGGGATCCGCAACAGTGGCAGACGCCCTCTTGAGACATATTCGGTTCCAGAACACCGAGTGGCAGACCCCCCAATGGGTGGCGGACTGGCCAATTTGTCTCTGGGACGGGTCCTAGATAGTTCTGTTTGCCAATTACTGGAATGCCAAGCTCCCGACGTACATGTCACTCCTCCAGAGACGAACGATTTCGCCACATACGCTCTATAGATCTCTTGGAGTCGCAGGGACTCTTGCGCCTTTCTCCAACTGGGCACCAAGTTGATGTTACAACTGTTTTAGTCTTTCCGCTCGAAGAGGCCACGCGCCAAGGGGCTAGCTAATCCTCCTGACTGGGACTTGTCGTTGGTCTAACGACGTTACGACACCCCCCTCGAGTCTACGGATAAGGCAGACGCTAAGTATGTCACTTTGCTAAGATTTTCTGGTATCTTGCATGATTTATAAATCTATTCACGTCTAAATGAAGCACTTTTTTGATGCGGAATTTGTTTTTATGATAAAAAATACAAATTACTTTGAATAAAGCTGGAAATTATGTCCCTTAAAATAATTAAACAAATTAGGCACCAATGTTTTTGTAAGATATTTAAATCTATCAAGGACATTCGGTAAACTGCTTTCCCACTGCTATTTCAATCCTGAAACTATGAGAAAGGGAATAATATTATATAACAAAAGGCAAGGTCACCAGAGTTCAACTATGTTATAATTTTTGATTGCGAAAATGTGTGCCCTCTCAACTTCGAAGTTCAAAGCTAATTATAGTATGGTAAGGCTATTGAGTTAGTATTAAGTTTTGTCAAGCCCTGTCAATATGGTTTTTACTTTGACATGGAATTTGCATAATTTTGAGGATTCAAAATTTAGTTTCAAAGTAAGACTTTAAATCAGGACAAATCCGAGACTAGTTGGTTCAAAATTGGAAAGACACTTTTCAAATTAAAACGTTGGCTGTTACGTCATAACTTACACCAACAATTTATAAGATTAGGGAATGCAACTGTGTGATAGGGTAATTGAAAAAAAATCATGTGAAATCCTTTATGGTCACAAAATCCAAAAAAATCTACGTTTCTAAAAGAAATCCCAATTAAAATTAGTGAGTCTGAAAAAACTGATTCTTCTTCACCTTGTATTGTTTTGGTGGTGTCAATGCTTATTCACAAATCCATATATTAGCTCAGTTCTATTTACATTGAACATTCCCAAGCACTCGTTGTGTTTTGTGACACTATTGGTTAGAATTATATTTGATTGACACGCACGTAATGGGAACCCTTTCAAAAGTTTGCAAATTGGAGGGGGGGGGTCACTTCTCATGAGATCGTCATCGCATTTCGCCCATTGTACATAGTTATGAAAGTTGCATACCGTAATCTTATAAATCCTTGCTTTGTACTCAATGCTACTGTCTTTCTGATTTTAGAGTTTGAGGAAAGGCTTGACTACTGATGCTGAGAATCTACAGACAGCAATGACGTCACTTGGTCACCTAGCTTTACTGAGTGGTCAACAATTTGTAATGTCAATGAGATCACTGGTAGCCAAGTTTATTGTAAAAGAAGTGTTAATGCAAGACAGGAATGCACCTATTAAAAACAAGAAACTATGGTGTCATGATGACGAAGTGTCTGAGGAATGCTATGTAAAGGTGTGTACTGTATTGGCACAATCCTTTTGTGTTAGCTGTAAATAAAAGATGGAACTGAGGGAAAACACTGCAATGAAACAATTCTTATGTTGGTGGAATAAAAATGCTAATCAGAAGAGTAGATTCATCATAAATAATCTAGTGCTGCTGTTGAACACTGCTTATCATATCAGTGAATGTCCGTCGTCCGCATAAACTTTTTAGCTCCACCGTCATCATTTTGTGATGATATCTTTAATTCTCTAATTTTGGTGAATATTTTAGTCATTTTTGGTAAAAAGTGATATTTTCGACTTCTTGTTAAAAAACCGCAAGTCTGATTGCTTTGATATTATGAGGTATGTACGACCTAGAAAATATGCCATATGCGAGTACCAATTTGCGAGTCGCAAATAGCAAAATATGCCATATTCGAGTGGTAAAAACGGCATCTGCGAGTGGTAAAATGTATCATTTGCGAGTGGCAAAAAAAGGCCTATGCGAGGGGTCAAATGTGTTGTTTGCGAGTAGTAAACATTATCCGTTAGAATGCATACAGGACCTTGGTACTACAGGAATGCCAGTTTGATCAACAGCTGGATTTGCTTGTGTATAATAACATACGTTCAAATGCGTTTTATCATAGTAAAATCAAATATTTACCATGATTAGGAAATGGTGTGTACATGGTTGGTTAAGATTGGCATTATGCTGCGATCTAGCCTAGGTGTCGACCGGCGCACGCCACCCGGTACTCACCATTAGGCCAAAAAAAAAACTATTGTTGCCCTCAAGTCAGAAAATTGAAAAAATTGGGTCGGCCGGTCGGCCCTAAGGATATGGTAAATAGCCAAGGTATATGGGAATCAAACGCATGCTAGATATTAAACACAAAAATCAAAGTGTTTCTTTCAGTCTTTTGTATTTAAATACAGATCAACCCAAGGTTCAACAGTCCGGGATCGTTAATTTTTAGAGGAAACACTTTTTTACTGCTTAAAATATTGAGTTTTTAATATTTGAGTCTATTAAAAAAAACACGACCTGATAATTCATATTTTTCGATCCGCCGCTGAGGGCAACAAAACATAAGCCTTTTTTGCCTATCGCAAATGATACATTTTACCACTCGCATATGCCATTTTTTACCACTCATATGTGACATATTTTGCTACTTGCGACTCGCAACTTGGTACTCGCATATGGCATTATTTTCTAGGTTGTACATACCTCATATTATATATACATGCATAGGTACTACATGTGGACCTCTCTTAGATTTGTTTTTGTAATGACATCTTCAATTCTCTAATTGAAATGTACATTGCTAACAGTGAAGCTATCTCAGGTGGGAGGCTTCTTGTGGGGGACTTTTGTCGCCTGTGTGAGTCAGTCAGCTGTCTGTTTGTTTGTGTGACCACCACTATCTGTATCTTGGGCATATCTGAATCGCATTCAAATTTCACACGTATGTCACGCATATTGATAATATAGATATTTTTCATAACATAAGGCCTGGTATCCTATATAAATATTTTTTTTTTAGATTAGAGCATTGAAATTGCTAGTTCGGTGGCTGATAGGCCTGAAGACGAATGATCAAGGTTCTGGGACTTCTACAATACGATTATTGTCAACTATGATCAGAAATGAGGGTGATCTTATGGAGAGGGGGAAAATAAGGTAAGAATAGCACAGATCTCTATAGTGATAGTATAGCCGAAACATATAGCAGATTCCTGTCATTCTTGCCATGTCTGCAGAAATCTGTGCTAAATGTAGTGATAAAATTATAAATACATATAAATAATATACCTTAATTGTGACAGTTTTGAAATGTGTCATTTTAAACTCAGTGACAATGAATAAATACAAATTTGATCTTATTTCATTCTTTTCATTGATGCATTCTAGGCCTGCAGAGAAATCTAGACTGCGACTCGCTGCAGGATGTGCTTTGTTGAAACTTGCACAAGAACCATGCTATGCAGATATTATTTCACAAGAACAATTTTATTTAATAGCATTACTTGTAAATGTAAGTTCAGTCAAATCACGACTTGATTTTGTAATTACTCCACACAAGTGTACCATCTCTCAGAAATTTTAAAGTCCAAAAGTTCCATTTATAAAACTGTTAGTACTTTAACAATTCTCAGTTTTCCGCAACAACAGTTGTAAAACATCTGGTGTGTGGATGATAGATCTCTGGTGCGCAAATGATAGATCTCTGGTGCGTAAATGATAGATCTCTGGTGCGTAAATGATAGATCTCTGGTGCGTAAATGATAGAGTCTGGTGCGTAAATGATAGATCTCTGGTGTGTCGGCAGATGAGTCTGGTATATCAGCTTGTGGTATCCATAAATGCCAATACTGCTGTCCTGTTCAGTTGTGATTTATTTTAGAATGTGAATATGCCATCTTATATTGACAGGATGAATGTTATGAAGTTCGTCAGATGTTTGCCATAAAACTCCACAAAGGCCTGCTAAGTCTCAGGTTACCACTGCAATACCTCAGTATCTTTGCTTTGTGTGCCAAAGATCCCATTCGTGATAGGAAAACATTTGCCAGACAATGTCTTGTTAAAAATATATCATTTCGACGAGACTATATCAGACAACATTCAGGTGCTAGCAGTAAGTATTGTCTTCTTGTTCATTATAAGTCTTACTAGCTGGAAATTTTGAACTTGAAAATACATTTGATTGACATAAGCAGCTTTTTTTTCATATTTTTTAATCCATGAAACTGACTAATAATATGCTGTTCAACATAACACTCACAGATGAAAGAGCTTGACAAATGCAGGAGAATGCAATTTTCAGTTTTTTTAGTCCTTGTTTCAGGTGCAGCCTGAAAAGAGGATGAAACTTGGCAGGTTGGATAAACAAGTCTCTGTTGAATATGCACGTAATTTTTGCATCTTTTTCACGATTTTCATCCAAAATTACATCTCCCAACAACACTTGAGAGAACAACTGAGCATGCTCAGAATAAATAATTAGGTTAGATGTAATGCTAGGGTTTTCAGTGATGTCATGCCCTTGATCTGAATCAGTGACAGAAATTAGCCACAGTCTGGTTTTTGTTTGGTTTTATGAAAAATGAATGCTGAAATTTTGAAAAAAATGGTCAGAAATGTTTATTATTATATCTTTAAACTGTAAAAATTGCATTCCATTATAAAGAGTCATCACTGAAATACTGGCTGGTGGATAAATAGGTTATACCATTACAATCTCAGTGGAAACTCTAGAGGGGTTGGGGGTGTCAGGGCTACATTTTGATGGGAATTATAGTGGTGATATTGAAACAAACCCAGGTCCTTGTAATATACAAAGACCTGAATTAAGAAAGAAGTCAAGTTGTTATTAAAGGTACATCATGGTTTACTCAGATTTATGAATGCAGTTTCTTGAGCATGTATACATGTATGAGACATAGTTTGGTTGCACTGGTGTACTCTGAGATTTTGGACAATGGGTCAATGGAAGTTTTCAGTTATCAGTACAATACTAGATTAAGGGAAATCACTTTATGATGAGTTGTACCCACATAGAGTACATATTAATTCACCTGTTTGCAGATGTTCCATGTATTATTTTAAGGTAGCGAGACATTTATTTATTAATTGATGAAATGCACTATAAACTTTCATCTGACAAAGTCAACGTAACCTAGAATGTCATGTAAGTTGGTTAAAATGTAGATTTTCTGAAGGGAAGCAAGGCAGGTTCAGTAGTGTTTTCTAAAATCAACAACACAGGTTTAATTTGTGTGCCTATAAGTTTCAAAGATTAACTCAAGACAAAGCAATGTTAGGATGTGTTATCAGTAGCTATCTGACACACAATGAGTGTTTCCAAACATTTGAGTGGTTTGTCTCCGCCCCTGTTTATTTCACAGATTAGTCATTTGCATATGAATGTGTCAGACACAAGGTCACACAGCCACTGAAAAAAATCATTGATTTTAGTGTTTTCATCTGGCGATTTTATCGAACTATAGCTATCCCGTTCCTTTAATTTGTTTGGGTTTCCAATAGCCTTACACATTGGGATGCCCTACACGTTAAAACAGACCTTGATGGGAAAACAAATCACTTGTGCAGATAAACAAGCTTGAAAATCTTTGCTGTGACTTCATCGAAGTTTTCTAG